AGATAGATAGATAGATAGATAGATAGATAGATAGATAGATAGATAGATAACTTTTTTGGGGTTTGGACTTGAGTCATACCATGACCAGTATAAGTACACCAATGTAGTCCTTTATGCCACCTACTGGGTTTTTTGGTGGTAGGAAAGACAAGATATGGATCTAGGCATCAAAAACTGAAAGCATCTTTATTATAAAGAGTTGCAACAATAGCAAAGGAAAAACATTAATTCTGGGCAAGACCTAGACTTCTGGCTGAAACACAAGTGATCTCTGAGAACAAGACAGGTACAATGAACCCACAAGGAGACATAACACATGAGGATGTTTAAATGGCGGGAACTAATTAACTAAACAGGATTCATTTGGAAACAATTAACCGAAGAGAGACACCGAGGGCGACAAGCTGAAAAGGAACACAATGATGCTGAAAACACAAAAAAAGGCAAGAACCCCAGAAACTCATACTGTGACACTTCAAGAGTTCTGTTTTAGTAAATATGGAGAATATTGTGGGGTTGAGAAAGTGTAACATGTAGTTATTTGTTGCCACTACTGGCCCAAGATGGTCAAGGTGTCTTTATTGTCATTCACATCACATGTGGTACATGAGGTGGAACAAAACTATGTACACAGGGTCCCAGTTACATCCAACAAAAACACAAATTGTAAAGAAAACAGTAATATGATCCAAGATATGAAGTAAGAATATACTAAGCACTAATAGTACAAAAAATGCATCAAACAACAGCAACACGAACATGAGTCTGTGTGAGCAGATGAGGACAAATGAACACAGCAGCATGAAATAAATCAGCAGCATGAGATCAGCATCATGGATAGTCAGCACCACATAACAACAACCAAGTGGCATTACAGTGATTTTTTTTTTCACAGTAATTTTCACAGTGATAATCCTGACTAGGGATTCATGAGTCTAACAGCCTAAGGGTAGAAGCTGCTCCTCAGCCTAGTGGTTCTGCACTTCTGCCTGAGGGAAGTGGGGCAAAAAGTGTGTGTGCTGGGTGAGTGTGGTCCTTCATGATGCAGCTGACCCTCTTCATGCATCTGGAGGTGTAGATGTCTGTGATGGTGGGGAGGCTGATTCCGACAGATTTCTGTGCAGCCTTCACCACTCTCTGCAAAGCTTTTCTTTCTGCAGCTGTGCAGCCTCCATGCCACACGTTGATGCTGGAGCACAGGATGCTCTCCACTGCACACACAAGATGGAAGCAGATACATGTATCTGCAAATGGTTAAGTACTAACTTTCGTTATTGATGTATTTGCAAGAACAGCAACATCCAATCATGGATGTAGTTGAGATAGTACTTTGTTAAAACAAATCAAAGCTAAAGTCAACTTAGAGTGGTTAGAGTACCAGACTTTGTTACATCATGTGTTTTTAATCACATTTGCTGTATTATCTAGTCTAACACTATTTTATTAAAGGGGGATGAGTTGAAAAGTTTGATAGCCACATGGAGGAAGGACTTTCTGTGGTGGTCTGTGGAGCACCTCGGTGGTCTCAGTCTAGGACTGAATGTGCTATGGTAAGAGTACAGTGTGGCATACAGGGGGTGTGACATGTTGTTTAAGATCTGGAGCACTTTCCTCAGCATCCTCTGCTTCAGCCTGTCAGAGACTGCAGGTCCACTCCCAGAACTGAGCCAGCTCTCTTGATGAATTTATCGAGTCTGTTAGCATCAGCTTTCTTCACTCTGCTGCTCCAGCACACCACAGCGAAGAAGAAGATGCTGGAGACCACTGAGTGGTAAAACATCTGCAGCATGGCCCTGCAGATGTTAAAGGACCTGAGTCTCCTCAGAAGAAAAAGGTGACTCTGCCCTTTCTTTTAGAGGGCGTTGGTGTTAGCCGTCCGATTCCAGATCTTGGAGAATAATGCAGAGCTTCTTTTGGAAAATAAGTTTCCATGGCGTTAAATATCCTGCATAACAAATATAATTTCCTGGGTCTAAATGAGTGCAGGCTCACTGGCACTAAATGTAGGAGTGGGCTGCTTGGCTGCAGAATGAATACCACCGAGTTCAACAGCATAAGCAAATAACATCCTGGATTTCACAGCAACCACAGACATCATATTCAACTTCAGCTGATTTCAGTGATTAAAAGGAAACAGCTTGACATATTTCAACATGCTGTCAGTTAAATAGAACTGTTTTTCGTTCTTTCCACTCTGTTGACGTCTCACCCTGCCTAAGAAAACCAAGTCCTAGACTTCTCGTGACAAAGCCGACGATCTGACATGTTGTTTTCCCATAACACATCTTGCACGTGTTCACGTCTTTGGTGAGAGAGCTGTGCTGAGCAAAGTGAAGCAGAAATATTCTTTCAACATGAACAGTGTTGGCTGTGTCACTGCATACCCATAACTACTGAAGTCACGCTGAGATCCGACCGCTAAATGTCCTGCGGTGCGTTTGGGGGTTGCAACAAATGATTCTGATTATTTTAACACTCATTCACAAAAACATATTACAATCTTACTTCTATGTGTGAAGCAATAGGAATGTTAGGTGGTTGTTTATATGTCAAAGTGAACCCAACATCAGCTTTATTGCTGACTTAAGTTATAAAAAAGGACACTAAATTACTAAAAGGTGGAATGGCCAAAGTAAATAAAAAAAAAAACGAGGTTTTGAATAATTCCCTTTTGCATATAGTAAAACCACCACCGTTATGCTCAGAGATAAATTAGGGCGAGTGCAATGTTAGCTATGAGGATAATTTCAGTGGGGATCATATTTTAGGTTTTGGTTATTCTAAAATTAACTTTACTGCCTGCAACAGATTAAACGAGCAAACAATCAGACATTCAAAAGAACGTACTTCTGAAATAGTTTCATTTAATTTAGTTTTTGTTTTGAAAAAATTATGATGGGTGTTAAAGTTTTATGAAATAAATATATTGAATATCCAATTCTACTGATATTTTATTAACAAAACAAGAAAACAAAGGGTCAAACAGTGGAAGGAGGATCCCTGTATTAGACATAAGGTATTGAGGACTCTTCTGCCCTGTACATCAACCCTTGATTCTTTTAGGAGATCTGACTTAAACAGCAATGAGGATCTGTGTAATGAAACGATTTTACCACTACAGCAAACTTGCTAAGAGAGGACATCTATCAAAACTCCCAGACCAGGCAAGAAGGGCATAAACCAGACAAACATACGAGGTCAAAAATGACCCTGATGGAGTTGAAAATCTCTTGTAACTATAGGATCACTTCAAACTGTACTGAGCTGGGCTTCATGGAAGATATGCCAGGA